TGATGTCATTTTCATGGCAATCGCAAGAAATTTACATTGTTTGCAAAAAAGTGATATCTTGTTTATGTGAACATGCTGCTTGGGAAGTGTTTACCTCCAACTTTCAAATGTCCTTTTGAAAAGAGAAGTTCTTGACTGAGCACCTTCCACAAGCAATTTAATTTTCTCTGTGCAAATCATTTTGAATAATGGTGGATTTTGTGCCATTGCAGCTCTGGATGTTCTGAAAAAATTTGGGAGTCCAGAGGACTTCTACAAATTTGCCGGTCCCTTGATGCGTGGGGTTCCAGGTGCCTTTGTGGATCTCCTCGTCCACCAACAGAATCGCGTGTCTCCATCGCGTCTCCTGCCGTCTCTTCTTCTTCCAGAGGCATTTAACATGGAACATGTGGGTCTTGTTTGACTTTTTGGCATGATAAGCCCATTGCAAGAAATTCCTTATCACACTTGTCAGAGATTATGACACAAGCAAGCTTCTGTCATCACTCACTCTCTTAAATGAGGCAGAACTGCTGTTTGTAATGCAGCAAGAATGCACAGGAAACAAAGGCACCCTGAAACCTACTTCTAGTACCTGTGCAATCCCATTGCTGCTTGTATTCTATTCTCTTTACTATTGAATAATTCTAAGGTGCCTATACATCTTATCAGTCCGGTCTAGTCATCATTATTCCAGTCAAAATTTTGAATGCTCTTGCTTAACTTGTGGTTTCTAATATCCTCTACACACCATCAGTCCACTCACTTAACTAGACTGGATTGATTTAACAGGGAAAAATATGAGCTTATTTTGATCATTGTTTTTAGTATAGCAGTCCCATGGTGGAATGCTTAGTAGAAGCCTTAGCTGGGATTTTAACCTCTTCAAATGCATGGGAAAAGATATAGCATGACAGAATGCATAGTATGGTGCTTAGTGTCTAGGATTTCCAATATGAGATCAAGTCATGAGAAAGAATGTGAATTAGGTTGTCCGTATAGTATGTAAATCCTTGCTGGCGAAAGAGGCTGTTCTTAGCAGAAACAAGTGAATGTTGCTCTCTGAAGTTTGGTGGCTGACCCTTAATTGATGGGGTGAAAGGGGAGTTTCATGGAAGAATCAGGTCATTCATCTCTGCATTTTGATTTTGCCTCTTCTTAATGTTCTCCTTTTTTTCATGTCTGTAAGATTTGCAGCAATGGATAAACCCAATTCTTTGTCTTTCCGTACAGGCCCGAGAGGTGGTGAGGTACCTGGAGCATTGCATCTTCGTCCTGGACTCACACGAGACAGCCGTCCACAACTACCTCCTCTATCTCTATTCCAGCCTCTATCCTGAGAAGCTTCTTACATATCTGGAAAATCAAGGTTGGTATGTTAAAAATTGGGGCATTAAGTATTCATTAAAATGTTTAATGGGATGAATCCAATGTCTGTCCAATTCTGATCAATGTAGGATTTTCTCTCCAACTTGGATGAATGTAGCTTGTCGTATAAAACTATCACTCTCCTCAAAGTTCGTTGCTAGGTCTCAGGCTTTGCAATGAAGACCATATACAAATCTCCTTTTTCTTCAAATCCAATAATCTCCACTTCCTGATACCTCAAACCTGTTTTTTGTTTCCAATTGTGATTTTCTCATTGTATATATGAAGAATGAAAAGAGAAGTCTTTAAGTGGGGTTTTTATGGACTTATAAATTTTCTAAGAAGAGCAAAAAAAAGCATGTTCTGTCTGACAGGTATTAACTTTAATATTTCTTATTTTCTCCCCTTCCCTCAATTTTCCCTCTGTCCTTGAAAATGAAATATCAGTATGAGGGCTTGGAGGATGAAGAATGAACCCTCCTCAATAATGTGTCATGCCATACATCCACAACCCCTGAGCAAAGCTAGTTTCTGATGGCTCAAATCATTGGTCTTAGAAAATTCCAATTGATGAGTTTCACTTTTAATTATACTGGTTGCTGTATTCAAAGTGATCTTATCAGCTAGCCTACATGCCTGACTCTTGATGTTTCTAAGCATGTGATCACTTTTTATCTGACAGGAGACAGCATTCTGGAGGTGAACTTCGATCCACGATATGCCCTGACGGTCTGCCAGGAAGCAGGACACGACCAGGCGTGCGTGCGGCTCTATTCCATCCAGGGCCTGCACGAGGAGGCGGTGGATCTCGCACTCAAGACGGACATCGACCTGGCAAAATCTATGGCCAATAAGCCCAAGGAGAATGAGAGTATGTGCAAGAAGCTCTGGCTCAAGATCGGTACCCACATTTTCACTTCTTTCTCACGTTTTGAGTCTCTATCGGTGCTTTTGAGTCTGAAAACGAAATTCCTTGTTGGGTCTCATCAGCCAAGCATGTGGTCCAGGAGGAGAAGGACATCGGAAGGGCGATGGAGGTCCTCCAAGAATCGGGTCTCATCAAGATCGAGGACATCCTCCCGTTCTTCCCCGACTTCGTGACCATCGACCAGTTCAAGGATGCCATCTGTGCCTCCCTGGAGGACTACAATCGACACATGCACGAACTCCAGGAGGAGATGGAGGAGGCCACCGGCAGCACCGAACGCATTCGCAAGGAGATCTCCAAGCTTAAGAATAAGTGAGAGATTGCACTCTTTCTCAATTATATTCCAGAGACAAGTGTCAGATGAAATGTTGGGTAAGCACCTGGTAGTTCGGTATTTTCTGTCGAAAAGATGCCGAAATCCAAGGCTCATTTCGATCGTTGCCCAAACCCTTCGGGGTTTGTTGAAAATTGACATCGTTATTGATGATTCAACATTTCTTTCAACTTGGTGTTACCTGATGAAATAAGGGTTCTTTGTTTTTCAGAGCTTTTCCATTCATCTTCTTCTCTGGCATGATGCTTGAAGTGCTTGGCAGGACTTCCAAGTTCTTAACAATGACAGCACCCATGTCTGAGGGAACAAAAAGATAGAGATTTTTTTTTTAAGCAATGATCACTATTTGAGCACACACTATTGCTCTCAATACAAAAGTAGTTAGATGCTGATGACGCCATCCAGCACATTTATACACTCACTGCACACATGCTCAAACACCTTTCATTGGGTAGTGTAGGAGTCCAAAGGAAGAGGAATCGCCTCTGGAGTCTCAATTGAAATGTGCTCTTAGGAGAATAAAACTCATCATTTCTCACAAGTTCGGAATAGAAACCTTTCCAAAAGTCTCTTCATTTGTTAATGGAACTATGGACATTGCAGACGTTTTCATCCCTAGTAGCCATCATTGAACTCAAGAAAAGGTGCAAAACTTTAAGGGAAAAGCAATCGACTTGAATCTCTGAACGGACATGGCATGGCCTTCTGCTCGTGTTCTCTGCAGGCCTTTTGTGATCAAAGGGAACGAGAAGTGCGAGAACTGCGGGGTGCCGGCCATGATGAGAGCCTTTTACGCCTTCCCCTGTTCCCACTTCTTTCACCAAGACTGCCTCGTGGACCAGGTCCTCCCTCACCTCCACGGTCCCTCCAAGTCCAAGGTGGAAGACCTCCAGGTAAATTCCATCGTCCCGTTCCCCACTTCCGTCCCGGACGGCTGCACGAAGCCGTCGTCTTGACGGTTCGTCGTTTGTGCTTCAGCGCCAGTTGGCCTCGCTGTCCGTCAAAGACGATGGTGTCGCCTCTGCATCCCTCAAGCAACGGGACAAGCTG